GTCTGGGGAGGCACTTGAATGAATGACCCAGATGCTTTAATCACTCAGATATCCCCCTTCTTGGAGGGTGTGGAGAGAATCCTGAGTGATTTAAAGATAGAGCATACACTTAATTAATGAAAAATATCATATAGCACAATGGCAAAGGAGCCCACCTGATGAGTGGGGAAGGTTTTTCCCATGTTCTGCCCTATTTTTGGGAATGAAAAATAGTTTTAAGAACCTGCTCAACTGTTGTCACTGCAGGACCAAAACACTACACCTCCCTCCCTAATGTTTTATCCCCTCCAAAACCTCCTCTGAGGGAGTTTTGTTCCAACACTTCCCCCAGAGGACTTTGCTCTCCTGTCTAATAAATTTCACAGTTGGGAAGTTTTCTCTGGTGCTTTGTCACTCACAGCCACATAAGAATGGATAAAGAGCTGCCTTCAGACGTCAGAGATGAGGAGTACTTATGTGCATGGGAACAGTCCCAACAGGAGTTAGATGAAGGACTACTGCAAATATCAGCAGCGTGGTTACCTTTGCTCACCTTATGTAGCAGGGATCCAGCAGGAAATGCAAAGGTGTGACTCTCAGCACTTGTGAAAATGCCAGATTTACAGCCTTAAATAGCAAATTCTTCTGCCTCTCCACAAAACAAATATAGCAGGATGTCCACTGTGAGAGCTTTCTCACAAGTAGGCGTCAGCAAAAGGGTGAGAAATGGTAAATAGGCACCCAGGGTGGGGAAAAAGTGATCCTTTGTCCTCTGAGTGACAGAAATTGAAGCAGGGTCACCAGTTTATTGCACTGTTGATGTTTGACACGCACCAAATGAAAGCACTTGGTTGTTATGAATATGGGTTCATTTTAAAGTGGCAACAGAAGACTTCTTTTCCAATGACCAGGCACTGAAATCACCCTATCACCCGCCAGTGGATTTAAAAACAATGTCATGGAAGGTGATTTGGGCTGAGATGTCATCTATAAAATATTTACTGTAATGAGATATATGGTTTTCAGTCACTTAGTGCATCCTGCAGTAGCTGCTAGATGGGTTAAAGACCAAATTACTCAAACCTAATGTCACACACTGCTCTTGCACAGTATTTTTATTGCTAATTACTTGGTGGCATTATCTTCACATAAAATAAGACCAATATGGACATGGCTGTTTGGGCAGCCAGGTTGGACCTTTCCTGTGTAGCTCTTTACCTTGTCAGTGGAGGTGAATCACTAGTTGAAGCAAGATCTAATCTGAAGCTGGAATGTTTAATTACCCTTGAAAAATGGAAAGGTCAAAATAGGACAGGAATGACAAAGTCAATTGAGCATCTGGACAGAGTCCAAGCTTCAGTCCTCACTGTCATCTCCTTGTTTCTTGTTTTGGAGGAGTCTACATTTAATTGTAGTTGTAAGAAGATATTTGCACTGTATTCTGTAGTTCTTCCTCTGTTTTTCTCCTTTTTTCCCATCTCCTTTCCTACTCCTCCTCTTCCTGCCTTCTTTTGCCTTCTCCCTCTTCTCCTTCCTCCCCTCTCTTGCTGTCTTCTTTTTTCACTGTGAAAACTCAGAATCCCCTCCCCTCTCCCCTCCCTGGCCACATCCAGGCTGGGATGTGCCTGTGGGTGGGGATAAGGATCAGACCCAGTGAGGGGATCCAGGATGACACAACCTGAGATACCCATGGTGGTCCCTTGAGCCAGCAGCCAGACCCTGGTGTGTGGGGACTCTTGTAGCCCTGCCACATATTCCTCTCACAGATTTTATCTGTGGTCACACATGTAGGATCTGCACATCAAAACACTTTGCATATGCGCATCTGGTGCATAAATATGCAGACAGAGAGGAACACTACCAGAATCAATTAAAAGCTCTCTCTACAACACTCAAGTTTTGCTAATCGTTAATCACAGATGTCTGATATCTTTTTATCTCAAGTCAAAGATCCTCTGTCTCCTTTGTAGCAATCAATGCACTGGGGTCCTCTCACAAAGCCCAGGGATTTTTGTTTCAGTGGTCTGACAGGACAATAGCCGTATGATTCTGAGCCACGTCAGAGGTTTTGGGTGACGCCTGTGAAAGGCTGCTTGTGTTACATCTATAATTCATTTGCAGCTTGGTCTCTTGGGGGAGCACAGGGAATCATGGCAGCTGTTTAACAACCCTCAGTTACAACTGAAAGTAAAGGGAGCCACAATTCAGCTGAAACATCATGTAAAGATTGTGCTCGCTGGGCCAGGGAACCTGAACTAACATGTCTATTTTCGTGAGGAGTGTTGGGGGATTTTTAATGACTGTAAGATCCTTGATTTTACAGCTCAGTCAGAAATACAATAGCCATAATAACATATTTTAGTGATAGTACTCTTACAACTACCAAGTTTTAAGGATGTGTGAAAGGAAAAGTTACTGTAGAGAAGTAATATCATTTATTAGACCAACAGAGACACCTGGAAAAAAGCAGATGAGTTTCCATGCACATAGCCCCTTCTACAATTCTCAAGCAGAGAAAATAGATGAGAAACGAGGTAGGGCAAGGTGTAACTGCTCTCAGTTTAACAGTATCACATTACCTTTTTCAGACAAAGTGGCTGATGAAAATGAGGCCCCATGGGACAGAGGGATAGGTTATTACTGCCCCAATAACCATGTGAGCAGAAGGATGTGGTACATGTGGAAAATGGCAGTGCTGGACCAAATATAGCACATGGAATGGTCACAGCATCATGGTTTGGATTGGAAGGGACCTTAAAGATTGCTCCAACCCCTCTGACATGGGCAGGGACACCTTCCCCTAGACCAGGCTGTTTCAACCCCATCCAACCTGGCCTTGAACACTTCAAGGGATGGGGCAGCCACAGCTTCCCTGGGCAGAGTCAGTGGGTGTAGCTGACCCTGCTCTGACTGCAAGGTAACTGCTTTGGCACTTTGAGTGATTTAAACCTCTGTGTTTCACCTTTTTGATGATCTGGTTCTGCACACAGCCTGGGGAGTTCAGCTGATGCACCAAAATCCATTGAAAACCTGAAAAGCAGATTAAATGCTTCTATTCAAAGAGCGAGAAAATGAAACACTTAAGCTCAGCCCTCTGTAACAGGAAAGAAAATACAGGAAAGAACAGTGAGCAGTGCAGAGCACATTGCTAAGCAGCTGCAGAAGAACCACAAGCTCGCAGATCTCAGATGCTGCATTTGGGGGTTTTTATCCTCATAGAAGAAGCAGTAAATGTTAAAAATATAAAAAAATGTGAACTAAATCATTAAATAGCTTTCACAGGGGAAGAGATGACCCAGGCTATGAATCACTGTCTTGGGGAAGAGGTGTTTGCAGGGGTGGTGAGAGAGAGGATGAATGGAGTGGGGTGGTCTGGATGGACCTCTGACCCTGGGCACCTGGGCTTTGGTTTGGATGGACTTAGTGAACACTGAACTACTCTGAACACTGCTCTGCTCTGGTTCTTGCTGGTTCACAGCCATGAACCCAGAACAGAGTCAAGGCACCTCTGCTTCCTGGCGCTTGTCTGAGTCTCAGAATCTCTGTTGGTCAGAGTGACTCTGAGATACGTACAAGCTTCTTTTTCTCAGCCTGGCAGCCAAAGAAGGAGTCAGGATTTTTCTGTTCTCGTTCTCAAGGTTGTTTATTATTTCTTATCTATAACATTCTTTCTCTGATCCGCCCCAGGTCTGGTAGGTTGGGTTGAGGCATACTGGCCGCCCTCGGGGCAGTGTTATCTTTTTATACTAAAAACTACATGTACATTATTTACTATAACTTCCCAATACCTATCATCTATGTTAGACAGTGAGTTTCTACCTTAAACCAATCTAAAAGTGCCAGCATCACTTAGAACATATAGGCTAGGAAGAAGAAGGAAAAAGGATGGGGAATGCCAAAATTCCTTCATCTTTGGACTCCGAGCCTCTATTCTAAAAACCTCAAAAATCTATTTTTCACTCTGTAACAAACTAACTATTATTCTGCTTAAATTCTTTTGACTTGTAATTTTTCATATATAGGTGGTAATTTGCTCCATGGGCCAAAATCAAAGTCAGAGGTGTCTTGGGCTTTGTGTCAAGGTCTCAGAGCCCCCCAGGGTAGGGGCTTGAGCCCTCCAGGGCATCCCCTGAGGAATTTCTTGGGTTCCAACATCTGAGCTCTGCCTTAAGTCCTTCATGAGTTTTCCACCTGCCTTTGCTCGACTCCAGGGAAACCAATGGCTCTCTGCCAGTTTTGTAAACAGCATGTGCAAGGACAATGTTTGCAAGACAAAATAACTGGTGTTAAGGTTTCTCTGTAAAGAAGAAGAGGTTGCTTTATTAAAAGGTCGGTTCTGCATCTAAGAGGTTAATAAGTATTCGCTGCAACTCATCAATGTCAAGACTAAAACCAAACAGGAAAATGGCAATCTCTTTCTCTTTTGTAAAGGAACTTGTTGAAATAACTGCCTAAGTCTGTCCTCTGTTTACTAAAACAGCTTTGGAAATCTCTAAATCCATTTATCCTGAGGATTATCATCATCTGGTTTCCAGACAACATTCTCATTTCCTCCAGTGAGGTTTTCTGATACCTTAGGCCATTAGCTGTGGTATTGATCTTTCCTTAATACGTGAGAATTCCTACAGCAAAGACAGCTCTGCATCTAAAAAACCCCAAGCCAAACCTGTTTTTATCTGAATAGCCAGAACAGCATTTTGTTAGAGACAAAATTTAACGTTCTTTAGCTTTTGTTTATAATAAACGTATCAGGGCAAGCTCTAAAGACATCCTTCACAGAATAGACTGAGCCTATTATCAGCCACTTGGGGAAATTCTGTTCCAGAAACAAAAGCCTGTGACACACCTGTCCTTCAGCTCCTGGTCCTATGGCTCAGCCCTGGGGAAAGAGATAATGGCCAGTGCTTAGGAGTGCAGCCTCTGAGACCCCACTTGGCTCTTCCTACCCCAAAATCCAACCCCTCAACAAATCCTGTGCATCAGTCCATAGAAAAGTAGTAACCAAGACCCTCATTACTCACCCTAAATCATCTGACAGGGATTGTCAGGCTGGTGCCTCTATTACAGAAATGGAGGGAAGGAACCTTAAGAAGAGTCTGATAAAAGAACACACCACACCTTTACTTATTTTATCCTGTTTTCCCCTTTGTCTCCTACTTACTAGGCAATGTTGAAATCCCACAGTTACTTCTCCATTAAAGGAAAACAATCCAGTAACCTTAGGAGGAAGGAGATGATGATAGATGGGAAAGGAGGTTTGGACTATTTGGACAGGTGAGAATCTATTGCTACTTCTAAACTAATGGGAGCTTGTTTAAAAGCTTAAGTTTCTCAGAAAACAGTTTCCTCTGTAGCTGTAATCCACGAGGCAGAGAACAAAGAGTTAAATTAATTCACCTTAGCTATTAGGACAAACCTGTTTTCCCAAGAGTTCAGCCAGAATCTCTTATTCCCCCCCATCTCCTGTGCCATGACCTTCAGCAAGTGTCTCTCTTAAACATATGAGTCACCCAGTCCTATACAGAATTCATGGGAGGAGAGAGGTTCCCCCAAACACTGCAAAAAGAACATTGACTAAAAATGCCTCTCATGGAATAGGGAAAAGATTGCTAGAATTTGCTTCTTGCCACTTTGGACTTCTTTTGGTGCTTGAAGCATAATTTTCAGTAGTTACAGAGAAGTGTGATTTAAAATTTCTTAATCAGAAGAACCCTTCAATATATAAAAGTCTTCATTAACACCTAGGAGCAGTCATTATGGTCGAAAAATTCAAATTTGGATGCCTTAAGTAAGAATAAGCATACACTTTATCAATTTTTCAGTATGTCTGAGCACCTGCAGATAACATTTAAGACGAGTTAATTACAGGATCCTAAATATGGATTAAAGGATTAGTTTTAGACATCAAATTGTGAAAAGTTTAGCTTATGTAACTTACCAGGGCCACGTGGAAAGTTCTTGGATTTAGATGTAGAATCACAAATCTTCTTAAACAGGAGGAAGGATGCAGCAAAGGATTCAGGTTTGTCTTCCTTGTTTGCCACAAACTACTTCTTCCTAAAACCCAATGGGGAATTAAAAACCACAGGACTTAGTGATCTTTTTCTGAAGTTTCTTTCTTAATTGTATTAGCAGTTAGGAATGATCCTGCAGCGTAACAAACCAAAACTCCAACCAACAAACAAACAAATCCCCAAACAAAACAGTCATTTTAGCCTGTAGACAGGTGCTCAGTGTGCAGCCGCCTGTGCCAGCTGATGATATTATCATGTTCAGCTGCTATTTTGCAGCTCTGAGTTTGTATCCCTTTCCCTTTTTCCTTTCTGCAAGCATTTCAGCTCTTCTGGCAAAATGAGTCCTGTGAACACTGCCTAACTCAAACAGTAAAAATAGGTGATTAGAGTTGTTTCAGCTAGTTGGGGTAGAAGAGCGTGGATATAACAGTGCTGAAATGGGGGTGGAGAACAAGTAATTTTTGGCTACAAACAGTAACAGCTTCAACATAAAGAAAAGAAAATTTGGAAAAGGACACTAGCTTTACAAGCTGAGCATAATGAGTTCAACCTCACAGCCCTCAAACTAATTACCCTGAGATAAAACAAGTGGATTTTAGCTTTTCCTTGAATAGTGAAGATAATCTGGTAGTGATTTAACAGTAAATGTCACAGCAAACAGATTCAGGACTAGAACTGAGCCAAACAAACAATGTTCTTTCCCATGCAGTATTTCAAACAAATACCTGTCCTTTTCATATTAAAAATTTCTTTCTGTCTTGCCTCCTCCTCTCCAATATTGTGCCAGTGAAAACTCTGCATTTTCAGAAGTGCATCTAGTTATATGCAATATCAGCCAGGGTCAAAGATCTTCCTTTGCTGTTATTTCAAGCCTGGTTGCCAAAGAGGAGCTGGACAAAATGTCAGCCTGCCCATGGCCTGTGAGGGCTGAGCTGGAGCAGCACTTCAGAGAGGCAGCTCAGGGGGAAATTCGTGCTCAGCTCGCTGTGGGGGCCCCTGTGATTCACTGAGCCCCCGCTGGCGACAGCGGCATGGCCAGAGCTGTGCATGGCTCCAAGAATTCACACAAATTAAACCTTCCTACTTCCAGCAAAGTTTGGATACCTGTTGGAAATCAAAGCAGCTCCTATCCCCCCTGTTATGCAAATAACACATGAGGAGGCTGGAGTGGCAATTGTGGTCAGTAAGGCATCTCCCATCGTACTCACCTGCAGCTGGCATTGCGTGGTCCATGAAAATGTTACAGCAAAATCCAACAAAGTTGTCATAGAAGCTTGGAATAAGTATCTTTAAACTAGTACAGAGAAACTCAGAAGACATGGGGATGAACCATGTTCCTTTTGAAATATATGATTCCATTAAGATAAAATATTTATAGAAATTAGATCAGCTAATGAGGATTTCATTTTGGAGAAAACTCATAAAATGCCGGTCATATCAGGGCACATTTTTCTCTCTTTTTGGAACAAAAATTTCTAGAGGGGAAGTTTATGAAATAAAGAAAAGTGAATTAAAGTAATTTGTGGCATGTAATAAAGATGTTGAAAACAAAACGTTGGTTTTCTGGCTCAAGTAGAGTTTGTGGATCACCCCAAAAAAAGGTATTTTGGGGGTGGGAAAGGAAAATTTACTTTCAGTGAGAATATCTACCTTTTATGGTATCAATCTGAAATAAATTTTATTAGTGAATTTCCTCATAGAGAAGAAATATTCCCATAACAGAGACCCCTGTTACATGGAGATGGGCAGCAGTGCTGTGCCAGCTGCAAAGGAAGGGTTATTTCTGGTGAAGGAGTTTTGCATTTCCTTTGTGATTAGAGACCCTGAGTGATGAGAGGAGGCAACTTATCTTGAGAAGCTGATGAGGTTATCACTGCCAGTTCACTTCTCCCTTCCTCCCTCCCCAAACTGCCCTACTTTACCCTCATCCCACTCACCAATAACTAAACTACTTTTCAAACAGCACCAGGACCACAGGGCAGAATTTTAAGGAGAGCAGACTTGGCAGTGAGTTTCCGTAAAGTGTGATGCTGATGGCTGCAGTGATGAGGAGCCTAATGGATGAGCAGCTCAGATGTCTTGCTGTGAAGGGCAAAGGGGCTGCCAGAGGCAGGACTTTGTCTCTTGGCATCTTAATTGCCAGATTTCAGAACTGCACATAAAAATGCAAACCCTGATGCTGCCCCTGGCAGCATCTTGGAGTTGGTCTGATTCACGCCAGCCCAGAACACAGTGAAGAAAAGCTTTGAAAAGCAGGGAATGATGGTTTTGTGGAGGACAGAATCAAAATTAGGAACAAGATCTATGAATTAACTTTAAATTTAAATAGATACAGTAAAAAAGATGAGGCAATAAAAGCAAGTGGCAGCTAAAGAGTTGACTGTGGATCCCATATGGGATAAATCCACTTCATTAAGAGCAGACTTGGGCTGAAGTTTGCATAGACAGCAAGAGAGGCAATGTAGAGAATGGCACTGAGGGCAATGAATGGAAATTCCCATTTTTTTTAGACTTTACACTGCCAACATGTACATCACAAACTTCTCTACACATGGGTTTTCCTGACTATGAAAAAGGCAGCAAATCCGAGCCAAGTGTGCCTGCAGACTTACAGCAGGACCTGTGGCAGAACCTCGCACACATCAGGGAGTGGGGGCTGCCCAGGGCTTGCAGTACGACAGCTTTTGGAAACCCAGTGTTGGAAGTCAATGGCAGCTTTTAGACTGCAAGTTGCTTAAGGTCCTCAGCTAGAAAATATTATTTGACTATTTGAAGCTTCCGGGAACTGAAAAAGAAAAATTAAAAAAAAAACAAACAGAAGATTTCTGCAGCTATAGCAGATGCAAGACTGCAAGCAAAGGTGAGTTTTGGAAGCAGAAGCTGTCTGGAAAGGTTGTGCATTCTCCATCCCTGGAGGTTTTTAAGGCCTGACTCAATAAAACCCCAAACAACCTCCCTTGATTCCAGAGCTGACCCTGCTTTGAGTAGGAGGCCGCATTACAGAACTCCTGAGGTCTTTTCTAGGCTGAATTACCTTATGTTTCCCTTCTTATTTTCTAGTACCAATTAAAGTGAAACGGTACCAAAATATGAGCAAGAGAATTTATGCAATTACTTACTGGTCCCTTGGCATTGCTAATGAGTGCAGAAACATAAAAGATCCCACACCCCCAGAGGATCTTGGAGATGGATCTTAAGAGAGGATGGCTCATTTGCAGGGCATGATTCTTCAGGGGTTTAGCAGCTTCAGTCCCCACTCAGTGCCCCAGTGAAAGAAGTGAAAGACTCAAGGCTTTCTGCTGTGCTTTTCAACCCACCCTACCCACTCCCTTCTGCCATTGTAACTTTTGCTGTGAGATGCAGTGAAGTCTTCCTTTCACCTCCCTGTCAATATTTATTGTGCATGTGTAATTTGAATATTTTAAGATAATGAAATAAAATTCCTGTCTGCATTCATCAAGCCCGATATATCTGCAGCATAAAAGCTGAATACAGAACAACTTAAAACTACCAGAGGAGATAGTGAAATAGATGAACCTCTTTGTAATAAATGAACAACTCACTCATAGCAGTGATGCCAGTGGGGAAAAGCAATTGTGGCATCCCAGGTGCCTCAGACAAACCCTTTTCTGGCAATTACACAGCTTCCGGGTTGGCAAAAGCCATAGATTCATCAACAAACCATCTTTGTTTTCATACTGCTGGAACATGTAGAAACACACTTGTGGAAAGTGTCATTTTAAGGGATTGTATTCTTTTAAAGGGGCAGTTTTATAAGGCAAGATCATTTTAGGTTTAAGGGCTAGAAATGGTCTGCTAGGCTTGAGCTGCAGGAAGTGACTTATGGTTACTGCCTGGAAAATGCAGTTCACCGGAAAATGATTACCTTAAGATTGTTTAAGTATCACTGGCTAACAGGAACAGTCTTGATTAAAGCAGTTTCTAGGTGATCCATTGCAGGATATAGAGATTTAAAGAAAAACTGTTTTCCCAGAGCTGTCCACATGATCAGTCAGATCCTCCTTCTCCCTTCAATATTGTTTTGATACTGAAGAATTAATTTACATGAATTATTAGATATTGAGTGGGGAGACAGAGTATGAGAAAGAAAGGAGGGGATGTGTCTCTGGAAATTCCTCTGGGATCACTGGGGGAGGCTAACAGGAGGGAGTTGAAAACTGGGACAATTTAAATTAGTCATTGGCAACTGAGAAAGTAGAACAATACCCGAGACACATAGTGAAATGTGGAGGGAAAGGAAAAGAAATCTCTGGGTACAGATACAGAGATGTTCCTGGGCCTGCATTAGCAGAGAATTCTCAAGTCCATAAGAGCTCAAAGCACGTAGAAAATTTAGAAAGAAAGAGAAACAAAAGTGAAAGTTTTATTGTTATTTTCTTGTAATAGCCAAAACAGGGAAAGGTATCTCACCTACCACAGACTGAATAAATGAATTCCTATGGGGATGAAGGGAACCATTTTAAACCATCCAGCTTGATTGCAGATGTCAACATCCCAAATGAATTAGTAGTCTTGAGGCTGGAATCTTACTTGTGCTCTACAGAAGTGGGAGAGAAGCCAAACACATCAGTGTCACATTGACAACCAGGGCCCTGGGGAAGCAATCCCTCCCAAGAAACTCCCACTGGATGCTGAACTGTGAATCATGTGTGATTTATACTTTTGCTTTGATTACAGCTACTTGGGAATTATTTTTAGCTTTCCATTCAGAAATTAAAATTCATCAGAAATGACTTCTTTTTTTCCTGCTCCCCTAGAACTTAGGTGATTGAGTGGAGCAGATCCTAAGGTAATATTTCTGAACAAAATCAGAGAAACATAGAAAGGTGCAGAAAAGCCAAGAAAGTAATGACACCATCTGGAAACTAAGTTTAGAGGCAGATCTTAGTCCAGTGCTGTAAGCCAGAAAGAGAAAATGTGAACCAAGATCCCTCCTACACCCAGTTTGGCCTATTGGTTATTCTGGTTAATGCAATACTGTGTTGTGAGTGTCTCTGTGGGCTGCTGACTGATTCTCATCAGGTCATGAAAGGCTCTGAAAGACTTGCAGTGTTGTACACCATCACTTATCTGGAGAGTCTCTCCTAGCCATTACTCAGCTGGAATCTCTTGATTTGCTTCTATCTATTTCTGTTCAGTGTTTGACTTCAAACAATGATACACATCCTTCCAAAAAAACAAAAAAAAAAAGAGAGAAAAAAGAAAGGAGATACTTGGGTAGTCTAAGTAAACATGGACTCAGTAATTCATGGATTTATAGTTTCTCCCTCCAGCAATTTCTTTCCAAACACCCAAGAGGACATGAAAATTACAAAATGCCTACAGTCCCTTCCTTGTGTTTAGGATCCCTCTAGCAAGGCTCTACATCTCTACATTTGCATTTTTTATCCCCTTCTGTCAGTGGCTGATTGTGGTTGTAAAAGAGAAGACTGAGGGCTTGTGTTTGACTTCTA